TATATATATATATATTTTAAATAGAGGTGATACTCGTCTGTGTTTTGTATGCAGGCAGTTGAGATCATTGTGTCCTGGTCACGGCTGTGCCACTGTCACCCTTGTCTTTCTTTGTGTTTCTTTCTCCTTCTGTGTCCCCTCTGCTGGATCCCTGTCCACCTGTGCACCTTCCATCACTCAGCGCATCAGCTTTCAGCCTACACACACCTGCAGTCCATCAGACTGTCACCTCTCTTCAACCCTATGTGGCTCTCTTCCCACTTGACATCAGATTCTTCAGTCAGCTTTAGTGGTAGTAGAACTTTAGGCTTCCCTCGTGTCCTAATGATTCATGTTTTCTTCGTGATATAGTTTAGCCTGCTATACTCCTGCCTAACTGTCTCTCTCTTGTGCTTCAGGACTACATACCACCACCATACCCTGCTACCATTGCAATAAATTATCTTTATTCATCGTTAGGACGGCCCCCTAATATTCAACTAAGCCGTTAGTTGATGAGAATCTGCCATTAGCGGGTTAGAGGTCCTATTAGGTTGCTTGACTCTAAGTGGACTGGGAGCTCAAAGTATCTGGGGAGGTTTGTTTAAAACACTAGCATATGTGCTTTGGACGATGTTGGAGGATGTTTTCAGGCCCGGAGCAGGTTATCCAGCAGGGAATGCTGTTCAGTCTCTTTCCTGGTTGTTCTGACACATTCAGAATCAAGCGTGATGACTAATGGCTTGAACTAACTAGTCGATTAGGAAAGTCTTTAGTCTGGGGTAGCCCTCTCTGTGTCTGAATTTGGGTCCAACTTTTCAAATCATAACATACAGTATACCATGTCCTATACTCCTTTAACTTGTGTGTTACAGATTCTTTCAACAGAAGCTTTTAAGAGCTCACAGATATGGGTCATTAACAAAAATAAAGATGTGGAATAAGATGAGTTTTTCTTTACCTTGTTGCTAAAATGACCAAAAACCTTCTACATTAAAGGCTAAAGGATGTGTTAAAACTGCCAACAAAACGATTTGAACAACAGCAAAAAAAGATCAATCAGCCCTTTCAGCAGCTAGTTATGTGCCAGTTCACAACAAAACACAGATTTCTACTGACAGCAGGAATACCTGCCTGTGGGAACATAAAGCAGTGGCTGAGAGATGTCTTACCTGAAACTCTGTGTATCTTGTTTTTTCTACGGCACAGAAGTCAAATCATCCCATTAGTGCTTTTAGATCAACTGATTTGTTTAAGAATATCATCCCCTAGTCTTTACCTTTTTCAGTATATCTCACACACACTGTAACTGTAATGTGCAAAGCAGCTACTAATAAGTTACATTATGCAATTTGTCCTAATTAATTAAATGAAAGCATCATGAGAGGGAGTCTCTGGTACCCAGATAAACGGGCACATATAAAAATAATAGTGTTAAAGCAGCTCTTTGAAGA